GGACCAGGCAGGGGGGTCCCGGCAGGGATCTGGATGCGGGGGTCCCGGGAGCACCGGGCACAGGGGGAGCTGAGCATCCCGGGGGGAGCCGGCCACCCCGGGGGGAGCCAGGCACAGCCCGGGCAGGGGGGGCTGCCCGGGGGGGGCGGGCTTAGGGGCACCCCCGGGTGGAGGGGAGCTGGGAGCACCGGGGATGGAGGCAGCCCAGCACCCCTGCACCGGCACCCGCAGGAGGGTGGGAAATGGGGCAGGGACCCCGGGGACAAGGGGTGGCTTTGCCCCACACCACAGGGGACAAAGCGCCCTGCCCCAAACCTCCAGCATCCCTGCCCGGGCCCTGCTCTGGCCTCCTTGCCTCCTCCAAGCCCTTTTCTCCCCTGGAGCCCACTGGTGCCAGGCACGGTGCCCAGCGCAGCCGCTGTGGGGCCGGGGGTGACACTGAACCGTCCCCTCCACGGGACGGAGGTTTTGGGGCCTCCCCGCTCTGCAAAGTGATGGGGAATCAGCCGAGCCGGCGACGGTGCCACCATGCTTTCGTTTCCACGGCCATCGGCTGCGAGCTTGTCCTGGCTCTGCTTGGGAACGCCGGCCGGGTTGTGCTTTCCCTCGGGCTGGCGTTTCTCCATCGAGCAGAGATTTATTCCCCCTCTCCAAGTGACTCAGAGGCGCCTTGGCCAACTCTCCAGCTCGCGGCCGGTTGCCATCCATCTTCGTTACAGGAAGGGAGAGCAGTTCGTTAGGGCTGCGATACGGCGGCCGCCCCAACCCGGGCACGCAACCGGGCCACCTGCGGAGCTGCTCGCCTTTGCTGGGCGGTTTTACCGCTCCAGACCCACCGAGGAGGAAAGTCTCTTTAAAACCAGTGATATCTTTAAAAAAAAAAAAATCCCCTTTTCCCATCCTTAGCCTGTCCACACCCCTGATGTTTCCTCTGCCATTTTTAGGCAGCGCTTAGGCAGTAATTAAACACACAGACGGGGCTTTGGGCACAGCTATGGGTTAGGAGGACTTCAGGTGTGATGAGCTGTGCACAGTTCTCAGCCCTCATGAACATGGCTGTTTGCAGATGCAGACCAGATTTCCTCCCCCAAATTTCCTCCTTTCATATATTGCAACACCTCCCAGCCCTTTCCCTTCCCTCGGCGCGGGCTGGAGCTCGAGGGTGGGTTTGCAGCAGGGAGAAATGGCCCTCGCCAGCTTGCAGAGGTGGCGGATGCTGTCGAAACACGGCCCCGATGGGGCGCGTGACTCTGGCCCGGCCGGGATGCTGCTGCCTCGTTATCAGGGATATCGGGGATATCGGGGATATCAGGGAATTGCTGGTCTGGGGGTGGTTTCTGGCTGATCTTGAGTGGGTGGAAGAGCACTTGTGCTTCCCGGAGGAGAGGGCAGCGTGTTTGTTTGTGCACAGGGCTTGTTCCCAGGAGAAATTTCCTCTTGGCACGAAGGGAAAATAAAAAGTTAGGGGTTTTCCCCCTCAGTTTTGGAGGAAAATCCCTGCTTTCCTGGAAACTGGAGCCACCTTGGGAAAACAGCTGCTGTCTTCAGCCAAAAGAAATCCCCGAATTCTTTGATATTTTTCCCATATACACAAATCTTTTCGGCTTTCTCCCTTTAAAGCAAGTCGCTGACTACGATCCCGCCTCGATAGTGCCTTGACTCTGCTCAGGCGGCTGCTGCGCAGGGAAGAAAAGAGCCGTGTTCCCAGCCACAAAACCTCCCCGCTCCGGAGGAAACACTGTCCCTTTGTGCCTGTCGCACAATCCAGCAAACCTTGCGCTGCTGAAAGAGGTTGAACTTTTGAATATTCCTACTGAAAGCTCCTTTCTGCGGGAAGCCAGCCGCCCACCGGGACAACAAACGGGCACATTGTGGGATCCTCGGGGCTGCTGGCCACCGCGGATGCAACACTTGCCGTCGCGCTGCTCCGTTGCCGCTGCCAAAGTTGTTTCGCTTTCCTGAACCAAGCCCGGGGAGTTTTGTGTTTGGTTTTTTTTTTCCCTCCTTGCAGCCCCGGTGCTGATGAATACGCGCTGGAATTTGGCTTTCTGCAGGCGTGGTGTGTTCAGACTGCAAATATCCCGCGGCCGGGCGATACCGTTGTGAGCATCCCATGGGGCCGCATCGCACCGGGACCGGGGATTCCTCACTCTGCTTGCACCACAGCTCCTCACCCTCGTCCTCCTCCCGAGGAAGGCTCAGCTTGCTGCCCCTTGCCTCGTCCCAGTGCATCTTCACCCCTTCCCCGTCCCCTCGCTGGGTGCTGTGTTTTGGGAGGGTGTTTGGTGCTGGAGCAGCTTGAGCGTGC